CCAACCAAGATACTTTTCTGCCTGGTTGTAGGATTAACGTGGCAACCCTGAATAATACAATGGCTCCAAGACTTGCAAGTGGTAATAAAAGCCAAAACATAGATTCATTAAGCTCTGAACTCCTCTGCCCCCATGCTGCCAGGAGCACAACTCCAAAAGAGACTCCCTAGAACATTCCCTTAAATGGGCCATTGGCTTATCGGCTCTCATGAGTAAATCACTACACAAGGCTCCTCCCCCACAGAAAAAATATTAGTCCTCCTGCATTCAGCAAGAACCAGGAGCCAAGGTACCACTAACGGGAAGAACACATACATGCACTATCTCTATTTGAATTTCCTCCTACACAAACACTTTGAGATGATTGGGTCTAATAAAAAGATGCTTCCCTGCAGCTATATAGAGCAAATGTCTCAAACTAAATCTCAGCACACAGTCTGACTACAATTGCTATGCCTACAGCAAGCATATCTCAAGAAAGAAACAAACAAACAAAAACTCAGCTTAGCCAAATGCATCCAACATATTCTTCAGTGCTTTTACTGGGCAGGAAGTCCAGAAGGTGAGGTTGGGGTTACTTTCTAGGGTGCCTGCCTTATCCATATCCTGGTCTTTGACAACTGTGCCTCATCCATGACTCACCTCTCTATCACAGCTGACGGGACCTAGAAGGATGTCAGGAAAGGAGAGTGAGGCAAGAAAGGAAGGGAAACAAATACAATCATGCATTACCGAGCTGGCTTCTGCTTGGGATCAAGCATGACTGATTACTGCTCCATCTCCCAGGACCATCTTCTGACAGGCCGCATGGGTGAATGCATCTTAGAACTGGCTCCAAAGAGAGGAATAGGGAAGAATTTATCTACTGGCTCCCATTCCCCCATGGCTAAAGGTTTTCTCCTGAGGTGTCAATTCCTCCTCACTTCTCAGTTGCTTTACACAGGCACTGAGCAGGTCAGCATCAATAGAGAATCCCCAGGGTGGAAGATGAGAGACACCTGGGAAACATCTCATTGTCAAGTTGCACCTACAGAAAGTCAATGGGAGCACACACAGAACCAGCAACAGAGACAGAACAAATAAGCAGAGGCTCTTGAGGCAGATGGGTCTGAGAGCATCTGAAGCAGCTCTTAAGAGGTGTCTTATAAAACATCCCTGTCCTCTCAGCACAATTCCAGGCTTGCCCCCTAGACGTTTCTATATGAGTGTCTAATATTAAGCTTTACGTGGTCAAAAGAAAACTTTTCCTCCCTCCCTACTCCAACATGCTCCTCCTACATCCTCCCTTTTTTGGCCAATAGCATTTTAATCCAACCAATTGTTAAATTAAAAATCAAAGAGTTGGGGGATCCCTGGGTGGCGCAGCGGTTTGGCGCCTGCCTTTGGCTCAGGGCACGATCCTGGAGACCCGGGATAGAATCCCACGTCGGGCTCCCGGTGCATGGAGCCTGCTTCTCCCTCTGCCCGTGTCTCTGCCTCTCTCTCTCTCTCTCTCTCTCTCTCTCTCTCTCTGTGTGTGTGTGTGTGTGTGTGACTATCATAAATAAATACAAATTTAAAAAAAAAATTTAGAAAAATCAAAGAGTTACCACTAGATCTTCTCATTCCCTTACTACATTACCAGTATTTTGCTCTAGCTACAAAATATATCTTTAACCAACCTAACCCATCCATCACCATATCCCAAGTGGGCTCTTCTGGACTAACTGGCCCTCCTGCTCTTTACCCCTCCACAATATAATCTCCAAATAGCTACAGCCAGAAAGAGCCTTTTTTTTTTTTAACATTTCATTGTTAAAAAACAAAATTTCAAACATATACAAAAGTAGAAGTAATAGTAAATCAAACCCCAAATCAATGAGTATCCAATCATGGCCAATCCTGTTTCATTTAACCTCTAATTTTAAGGAAAATCTCAGATATCGTATCATGGGATATATAATGATACGGTTTTATCTAAGTTTGCATCTCTTCAAAATAGGAACTTTAAAAGAAATAACCACGTTAAAGGAAAGATCAACACAACTTGCAAACAATTGTTTTAAAAACCCTAACTGCGTAACATTACTGAGTACTCTTTATGAAGGTAAAGCAGGTTACGGCACTTCCTTGCTGAAAACCTTCCAGTGGCTTCCAATCCTGCTTTGTATGAACAAAGCGAAACTCTTTATTAATGCCCAGAAGGTTTGACCTCCCATGACCCTTGCCTATGCCTCTGGTCCCATTCCCAGCCAGGCTCTCTCTGTCTACTGTATGCCAACCACACTGGCCTTCTTTGTGTTCTACAAATGTTCCATGCCTATTCCTCCCTGAGAGCCCTTAGTTGATCTCTCTGCCTAGAAGGCTCATCCCTGTCATCTTCCTACACTTGGCTCCTTCTTGTCATTGAGGTCTCAGCTTACATGGAACACCTCTTGTCACCAGTCTCAAGTAGCTACGCAGTCATTACCACATTACCCTCTTCTAATTCTCTCCATAGTCCTTTGCCCATGACATATCCGGTGTGCCCTGGACAGGTTTACCCTTATTGTCAAGTATGACTATTAATAGTATCTTGCTGGCTCTTAAATGTGGGCAACAGATTTTATGGTTACCTTATTTGGAAGAATCTTATTTTTGTTTGACTTTGGCTTGTTTATTGTCTATCTCCTCCTACAAGGATATATGCTCTTGGGGTGCCTGAGTGGCTCAATCAATTAAGCATCTGCCTTCAGAGGTCATAATCCCAGGGTCCTGGGATCAAACCTCAAGTCTGGCTCCCTGATCAGTGTGGAGTCTGCTTCTCACTCTTCTCTCCCTCTGCCCCTCTCTCCACACTCATGTTCTCTTTCTCTCTGTCTCAAATAAATAAAATAGAATCTTTAAAATTAAAAAAAAAAAGGATATACGCTCTTTAGCACATATTCTCTGTGCCTCTGAGCTCTAATCTATTTCTCCACTGTATCCACAGTGCTTGGTACTTGGGAGGCCTGAAGAAGGAAGGAAGGAAGGAAGGAAGGAAGGAAGGAAGGAAGGAAGGAAGGAAGGAAGGAAGGAAGGAAGGAAGGAAAGTAGGGAGGGATGGAGGAAGTGGATGGGAGGGAAATCTCAGGCTCTGACTTTCCAGTTCCTGGTTCAACTCATTCTTTGTATTCTCTGTTTTTGGCTTCCATAATCTTCTATAAATGATCCTATTTTGCTTAACATAGATGGAACAGATTTCTATGACTCACAACCGAGTAATCCCTGACAGCTACTAATTTCTTTTAAGCAATTGTTCATTTTCCCCATTATAATATACTTTCTTCTGATCAGTTGTTAGGTTTAATTTAAAAAAAAAAACTCTCATAGGAGCTATAGGTATGGATTGAATGATAATATACCCCCAAAGTTCATATGTTGAAATCCTAACCTCCAGTGCAATGGTATTAAGAGATAGGGCCTTTGGAAGGTGAGTAGGTCATGAGGGTGGAGCCTTCATGAATAGGATTAGTGCCTGTATAAAAGAGACCCAGGGAGCTCCCTTGTCACTCCTGCCATATTAGGACACAACAAGAAGACAGCTGTCTATGAACCACGAAGACGGCTTTCACCAGAAACCTAATCTGCCAGCACTGTCATGGACTTCCCAAGCCTCCAGAACAGTGAGAAATAAGTTTCTGTTGTTATAAGCCACCCAGTCTATGGTATTCTATTATGGCAGATAGAACTAAGATAGGCTTCCTTCTAAAACTAGGAAAATCCACAAAAAGTATTTTCCTTAACCATAAGCCATTGAGAAGTTTGAAATTGCAAACAAGTGGTCTAAACAAAACTAATCATTTCTACTCCCCAAACTATCATAAATATTAGTGAAAATGGCAATAAAACTTCCAATCCTGATTATGCATGGGCCCATTTTTACAAAAACATTTCAGTAAAATAGATAGGATGCCATCAAAACAGCAATAAATCCTTGAAATAAGACCCAGATTTTTTTCACTCAAACATGTAAAAAGCCTGTGCATGCCACTGCCTTCAGGTCACTCCATTTCAGGAAATTCATGCTTTAAATAATCACTGTAAAATTAAAGCCATTCTGTAAGGAAAAGAATGGTAGGAGTCTTTGTTCAGACAGAACAATATTAAAATCAGTCTTGGTCTTGTTTTTTGTTTTGTTTTGTTTTTTAATAGGAATGATGGGGGCTAGGTATTGCCCTGAACTTCAGATGATAGCTAATGATAGGAATCTTGATTTGTAGCATACAATATTAAGAAAAATTTAATAAACTCACTCCCCAAGTAATAGCTAGCTCCCCAAGTATATAGTAATAGAATAAAGAATGAGGTAACCAACTATTGGAGAGGACAACAAATTTCTACTGAAGAAATGTGCCTCAGACCACGTCTCCTTCAATCTCAGATCTACTGTCTTTCCTTAACAAAAAAAGAAAATGAGTTTTAGCAACCAAAAGAAAAACAGAGGGCCTCAGTATTGGCACATACACCTTTCTTTAGTAAGCCCACTCTCAGGAGAGCTAAGTGTATTATTTGTATGAAAGGCACTATATAGTCACTCATTTCATGAAAATTTATTGCCCTGATCTGTAATTTGGGTGTGCAGTGGTGAGTAAAGTAGGCAAAACCCCTGCTTCATGGAGCTCACACTCTTGTGGTACCTTCAGAACTAACATTACTCAAATACCAGCCTATGTCACATACCTATTGAGGTAGCATGGCATAGACTTTGTTATCCATCAAAGAACCTGGGTTCAAATCCTGGCTTTACAACTTAATACCTCTGTGATCTCAGGCAAGTTACTTAATTTCCCTATGCCTCAGTTTCCTCTTCTGTAACCTCATAGCTTTGTTGGGAAAATTAAATTACTATAGCAATTAACAGTGTAAAGCAATTAGATTAGTACCTGACATAGAGTAAGCTATAGTTGAGTTTGCCATTTCTATTATTATTACTGCAAAGGGTGGGATTGATTTGGAATACTTAATCAATGAGTGTTATATACCCAAACATACCTGACCAGTTAGTTTCCTGGTAGCCAGGCCCTTTTTCCTCCAGACAGGAATTAGGAAGTTTCTTATCTGGAAAAAAAAATGAATGGATCCAGAAAAAAGACCTCCACAGAATGGCATTTGGAAGTTTCCCAGCATTTGAGACAACTCCCTGCCAATCACCCTACCTAAAACAACTACCATCAGGCAGTAAGCCTCACCCAGGTCAGAAGCATTCCCCACTCTCTATTTTAATAATAGAGAGACCTTTAAAAATAGAGAGATGCCAGGAAAAACAAAGGGATAATGGCATCTCGGAATAAATAAAAGATAGGAAACTGAGGAGGACTCTAATCTTCTGAAAGATTAAGGAAGATAATTGCATCCATAAAAGAGCATCAAAATGCTATGAAAAAAAAAAAGAACAGAGAACAAGAAAGGGTTCTTGTAAAATTAAAAATAGAATTGCTAAAATTGAAAATTCAATAGAATAGTTAGAAAATAAAGAAAAATCTTCATATATATATATATATATATATATATATATATATATATGTCAATCCTTCTCCCCCTACTCCAATAGCTGAAGCATAGAGTCTGTCTCCTCTAACCTCATTTCCCTGATATTTTTCAAATATCTTCTATTACATTACATTGGAATTCCCTTAACCAGCAAAGACATCTATAATCTTAAATCCCACAGCACACGAGGCTTGTAAATATCCAAAGAGTGAAGGAAAGAATGAATGATTGATTGACGGCAGCAGTGAAGCCTCAGTGTCATTATGTTCGCCAGCCTCCTCTGCTCAGTTTATGCTGCCTCCTCTGGAATATTCTCTCTCCGCTCTGCATGGAAGAGAATTCTGGCAAAGTTTCATGAGCACATGAACATTAGACTTAAAATTATACAGACTGGGTTTTCCAGGTTCTGGTATGAAGTTTTTCCAGTGAGGCAAGAGTCATGTCTGTCAGAACACCTGTTGGCTTGCAATCTTGTTGTCACCATCAGCCAAAATGGTGACATCAATTTTTTTTTTAATGGTTTTTGTCAACGTTGGTCTGAGAACATACCAGGTGAAATGATAATGACTACTATTAAATTAATGATGATAATTAAACATCCATACAACAAAATGTAAAATAAAAGGTAAAGATGGTTAGTAAAAAGAAAGGACAAAATACATAAAAGATCAATCCAGGTCAAATATCTGATAGGGATCCCAGAAAGAAAAAGCAGAGAGCATAAAATTATTTTAAAAAATGAACTCAAGAAATTTTCCTAGAGCTCAAAGAACATAAACTTTCAGATCGAGAGAAATTAGCACAAAGGAAAAAAGCTAGACCAAAACACAGCATCATGAAACTCCAGAACACCAGACATAAAAAGAAGAAATGTAATCTTTACCTCATACCATACACCAAAATTGATGACAAGTAGATTATAGATTTAAACATGTAAGTCAAAACTTGAAATCTTTTAGAAAATTAGATAGCATAATATCTTTATGCCCTTATGATAAAGAAGTATTTTTTAAATAAGTCAGTATGTATATAACTTAAAAGAAAAAAAGTGACACACTTGACTACATTAAATATAAAACTTCTATTTCATCAGGGGAGAACGTATCAAAGACTGCCTAGATGTTCACTTATCCTTTTTTCTTTTCCCTTTGTACACATAGTCAGACTGCATTTCTTAGCCTCACCTGCAACAAGATGTAGCATCACTAGATCTCCATCACTTTAAGGACATCGGCTTACAATATTTTCAGCATTTCTGAGGGTTCAAGATATATATTTATGAAGCCCTGGCTTGAACTCAGCATGACGACAGGTATAGCAGGGAGGTAGTACTGCTTTGTGGTTAAGGACCCAATTCTAGAGCCTCTCAGCTTTGCCAGCTACTAGCTGTGAACCTTGGGCAAGTTACTTCACTTTTCTGTGGCTCATTTCCTTAATTTATAAAACATGGGGCATAACAAGGAGAGAACCTATCACATGTAGGCATTGTAAAGTTTCAATAATATATAGTAAGTGTTCAAATATCTTCTATTACATTTTTTTGAGAGACGGAGAGAGAGAGAATGGGTATGAGTGGGGGAGGGGCAGAGGGAGAGAGAGAATCTTAAGCAGGCTCCAGGCTTAGCATGAAGCCTAACATGGAACTTGATCTCACAACCCTGAGACCATGACCTGAGCCAAAATCAAGAGTTGGATGCATAACTTGACTGAGCCACTCAGGTGCTGCTCTTCTGTTACATTTTTTAAAAGGATTTAATTCACTATGTGAATGTCAAAACAGCAGGGAAAATATTATCTGAAGCACTAAGATGACTTTTTCTCTGTCTAGTGAGATACCAGACACATACTGGGTCCTCAACAAATTTTTTTGAATGAACAATTAAATGCATATGAGAGTAAGTAATAGTAACAAATGGACTTAAACAGGATGGGCATGAGTCCCTCAGCACTATTCAGCAATATTTTCTGGGTTTCTCAATCCCAGCTCATATTTATAATCACTGGGGAGCTTTCTTAAAACATCAATGACTGAACCCCATCAACAAGATCAACTGAATCAGAAATTCTGGGATAGGAAGCAAGCATTGGTTTTGTTTTTTGTTTTGTTTTGTTTTAATATGGGTGATTCTGTTGTGCACCAGGTTGAGAATGACGGCTTTAACTAATTCTGAGTTGACTCCTTTCGTATTCCCCAAGGTAATGATTCCAAAACTCCCTTATTTCCTCAGGCCCCCAACTCTACCCCTGATCCTCTTATTCTTGGCAGATGGTTATTTTTCGTCTTCTTTCCTGTATCTCATCTTTTACTCTATTCTTCCTTGCTTTTCCTATTTCAGGAGAATATGTGTATCCTCAGACTCATTCACTGCCTCCATTTTGCAGTTATCATACTGTGATATGGAGTAGACCATGCATCTGTCCACTCTCCAACTAGACAGTGACCTCCCCAGAAGCAGGGTTCATTCATCTTTGTACTCTCACTATGAAGAAAGGTGGTAGCATACTCCCTCAGGGGTCAGGGAAGAAAAGCCAATGCCCATCATGGAGGTAGGCACTTCATAAATGTCACTGAATGGAGACCTGGGGCCTTTCCCTAGGCCTTGAAGGATAAGTAGGAATCAAAAAAGAAGAGTGGAAGTTTTATAACAGGCATAGAAAATAAAAACTAGGATATGGAATTCAGAACAGCAGCATTTAATTCTTCCTAGAACTTTCTAGAAACTATTGTCATGGAACACTAATCACACATACAAATAACTACTACTTCACACCAAAATTCCTCTGGTTGCAAATAAAATATGACTTTTGAAAGTACCCTGTCAAGAATAAAAGACAACATAAATGCAAGGATCCTGTTAAAAGAAAAAGAACACACAAGAAAGAGAAATCAGCAAAAAGCATCATTTTGTTTCAACAAGGAGATACAAGGCAACTTCTTCTCCTGTTCTTCAGCATCTACATCTATAACATGGGGACAAGGCAGCCCCAATGGCTCAGCGGTTTAGCGTCGCCTACAGCCCAGGGCATGATCCTGGAGAACCGGGATCAAGTCCCACGTCAGGCTCCCTACATGGAGCCTGCTTCTTCCTCTGCCTGTGTCTCTGCCTCTCTCTCTCTCTTTCTCCTCTCTGTGTATTGCCATGAATAAATAAATAAAAATCTTTAAAAAAATAAAAATAAATAAAATGGGGACAATAAAGAATACTTCCCTTCATAGAACTGATGAGGTATATAAATGAGTCAATTAATATGAATAAGAGGGCAAACCCGGCTGGCTCAGCAGTTTAGAGCCACCTTCAGCCCGGGGTGTGATCCTGGAGACCCAGGATCCAGTCCCACATCCGGCTCCCTGCATGGAGCCTGCTTCTTCCTCTCATGAATAAGTAAGTAAAATCTTTAAAAAATAATAAATAAATAAATAAATAAATAAATAAATAAATAAATAAACAAACAAATATGAAGAAGATAAAAATAGCATCTGGTATATAGTAAGCACAATAAATTGTTAGTTTTAGGTAATATTACAAATAAAATCCCATTATAATTTGCTAAAGATCATTACAACTATTCACTCCTGCTAAATAGCACTGTAATTAATCTGTCAAAGAGGCTTGGAAACTCAAAGACCCTTGGAAAATCAAATCACCCTTCTGGTCCTGTTGCCAAAGAAACTAAGCTCTCGGCTCCTTTAACTTTTCCTCATAGCTATTATTTTCCCAACTTTTACTCATTGTCCCTTCCTCCACAGTCCTCAACCTCAGAGGGACAAGAGAGGCTGCCTTGTATGGACCTGTTATCCCATATGTCCCATGTAATCTCCTGGTCCTTTTGGCACCCTGGTTAATATCGCCAGAGGTTTGTCTAATTCTGTTCATCTTCTTACAGGACAAAGCGCCATGATCACTTTTATCTTTGTCTTTTATGTTATCAATAGTCATTCTTTTTTTTAAATTATTGAGATGTAAAAGCTTACCCTTTTTACTGTACTGTCTTATGAGGTTTTACAAATATGTACAACTGTGTAACCACCACCATGAAGACATACAGCATTTCAATTATCTCAGAAAGTTCCCTTATGTCCCTTTGTTGTCTCCATTTTCTGTTTTCTGCCCCTATAGATTTGCTTTTTCTGGAAAGTCATATAAATAAAATCAGATGGTATAATTTTACCTGTCTGAATCTTGATTCTCTTACTCAGCATGATGCATTTGAGATTCATCCATATTGCTGGCATGCATCAGAAGTGAGTTCCTTTATTGTTCAGTGGTTCCATTGTTTGGATGGGCTATAGTTTGTTTATCCATCCACCAGTTGAAGGACCTTGGGGTTCTTTCCAGTTTTCAGTGCTTATGAATAAAACTGCTATATACATTTGTATGTAGGTTTTTGTATGAACATAAGTTTTCAATGTACTTGGGTAAACATCTAAAAGTAGGATTACTGGGTCATATGATAAGTGCATTTCAACTTTATAGGAAACTGCCAAACTGTTTTCATTTTGCATTCCCATCAACAACAGATGAGAGTTCCAGTTGCTCTGTACCCTCATCAGCATGTGGTTATTGTCA